TTCCTCCACAAGCTCTGGGGTTCCAGGCTACCTATGCTACCCACATACTGTCTATAAGTTTGGGGGGTTCCCACTCCCCCTTGGATTCCATTAGTCACTGGGTTGACTCATTGAACTTGGGAAAATGATGTACTTAGGATTACAGATTTATTGTAAAGGAATACAAATCAGAGCCAGATAAATGACTAGATGCATAGGGCAAGGCCTGGGAGGGCCCCAAACAGGAAGCTTCTTTGTCCTCACTCCTTACCTGGCAGCATATCAATATATAAGGACCAACCAGGAAGCTTACTGCAGCTTCAGTGTCCGGGAGGTTTTTATCGGGTTTCAGTACACAGACATGGATGATTGAATCATTGGCTCCAGCCTCCCTTTCTTTCCTACTTGGGACATTTCAAGGGTTTAGAGGTTATCTCCCAGAAGCCAGGGACAAATATCAGCCAAATTCTTTATTATACAACCTATGGAAATTTCAGTAAATTGGATAGGCAGAAGGGGGGGGGGGGGGCAAAAAAAAAGCATTTCAGGAAGTGGGGGGTGGTGTCTAAAAATAAAGAGGCAGAAATAAGTGTGGTATAGTCATGGTACAGTAGAAAGACCTCTTAGCTCATCAGCTTTGCTATATTGGAATGTGCCAGCCTTGAAGTTGAAGGACCAGGGTTTTGTCCATGGGTCTGCTATTCGATAACTATGGTGCCATCTTGTGGGAATATAGGGATCATTGTAAGCCAGCTTGAATCCTTTCTCCGAGAGGGGGACATAATTTAAATAGGTACACACACAATTTAGTAGATTAAAACAACAAAAATAGCTGAAACCGATTTGGCTCAGTGGGTAGAGCATTGGTCTGTGGACTGAAAGGTCCCAGGTTCGATTCCGGTCAAGGGCATGTACATTAGTTGTCATGTTCTTTTGGTCATAGCAAGTCACAAGACCAGTCCAAATTCAAGGGGAAGGGGAACAAATTCCATATTCTGATGGGAGAAGCAGCATGTTGCATGTGTATACAGTGAGGGAAGGAATCATCACAGCTGTCTTCAGAGACTTTACCATATTCTCTGATTCCCAGCTTACTCATATGAAAATGTCTATTATCTACTTCAACTAGATTAATGAGATTAAGACACATGATGTATAATTGACTGCATTTTATAAATTGTAAAGGGCTAAACAAGTACAATCTAACCTAATGTAACCTATTAATGGAGCATTATGCAAATTAACCATCACTCCGCTATACAAGCCATGCCCACCAGCCAGTCAGTGAGTATGCACATTAACCCAGAGATGATGGTTAATTGCATATGCAGAAGGAGGGAGGAGTGAAGACTGAAGACAGCATAGAAGGAAGAGGAAGGGAAAGTGGAAAACAAGGTGGCTGAGACTGCTGGAGGGAAAGCACTGGCAAGTGTGTGCGGGTGGGGCAGGGTGAGGTGCACAGGGCCGCAGAGTTGGTGGCAGAGGTGGTTGCTGCCACAGTGGGAGAGGTGGGAGTGGAGGGAGGGAACTCATCAGGCCTACGCTTTATGCTTGGGAAGGGGCCGAGCCTGGGATGGCAGGTTCAGGGCGGCGAAGTGACAACCCCTTCCCAAGCCTAAACCTGGGGTGGAGACTTTAGGCTTGGGAAGGGCTGAGCCTGTGATTTGGAGGTTCTGGTGGGCGGGGGTGGGGGGGACCCCTTCCCAAGCCTAAAGCCTGGGGCAGAGGCTTTTGGCTTGGGAAGGGGCTGAGCTTGGGATTGAAGGGAAGCGGAAAATATCAATGGAAACATATCCTCAGGTGAGGATAAAAAGAAAAATAAAGAAAGAAATGTTATATCCTATGAAAGACATATCTTGAAAATGCTTAAAGAAAGTTGTCATTTTTTCATGGTTAAGGGACTGGAGTCCGTGTTGATGAAAATACCTTGGTGGCTGTGCTGACTGGCAGTGGCTGCAGTAGCAGGTGATGGGGCTGGCGCCTTCCCCTAATCAGTCTGGTTGACTCCCACAAAGGGAGACCAGACTGCGGCTTAGGTTCGCTGCCAATGGGGAGCGGACTTAATCTATCAGTAGGACATCCCCTGAGGGCTCCCAGTATGTGAGAGGGGAACTGAGGGACCCTCTCCAGTGCACCAATTTTGTGCACCGGGCTCCTAGTATATTATAGTGGTGGGTGATAAAGGTAGATTGGAAGAATGAGAGATTATAAAAGGAGATAGATTGTAATAAAATTTATTGAGCATATACTATATTCCAGGCATTGTACTAAGTGTCTTACAAGTATTTTCTTTAAATCACCACAGCAAACCTTAAAAGATGGGTATTTCATTTTATTTTACAGGAAAGAAATTCCAAGTGAGTGGCAGAGCCAGAACTGGAACCCAATTTTGTTTGGTTCCAAAGTCTTAACTACTATACCCAGAGTTTTTTAAATCACTTTTATCTAATCAATCTGCAATTGGGTAAGGGGGGATAGCAGCTATCCAGAAATACTGAAACAATTTTTTTAGAGGCAGAACTCATAATCTCCATTTTTAACAGCTAGTTAATGTCGGAGAAACATTGAACCTCACTGTACACTACGAAGACCAGCTCAGAGGAAATGTAGGATTGCAGGTGCAGAAGAAAATAAGTAAGAAAAGTGTCTAGCTATTGGGAGAATAATTATGTTTTCTAGAGGCTAATACTAAAGCTGGTAAATGAAAGTAAGACTAGAAAAGTTAAAAGTCAGACCCAACAACTTGCAAATAACTGAATTTATATTTATTTATTGACTCATCAATTTTTATTTTTATTTTGCCTTTTTGCCTTTGGGCTTATTATTTCCTGTGCTAGAAAACCCCAAGTTCCTTTATCCTCCTCCCCCCAACTTGGCTAATATTTATTCATTTGGGGTCTGATGAGAGATGTGTGCCTTCTTTGAGAAGTTCTTTCTGGCCATCTCCCACCCCCAGTGGTTCCACATGTGTGCTGTGCCTTCTTCCATCCTATCATTTAGGCCCTAAATTTTGGTTTGTGTGCCTCCTTCAGCAATAATCAGGAGAACCTTGTATAGGAAGGGGGGGGGGAGAGGAGAGATTACTAGGTGTACTGATTAATAATTCGAATTTTGTAATCAAAGAAAACATGATAATTTCAAGAGAAACATCAAAAGTGCTTTATTCAAAGTAATGTTCATCGCTAGCTACACACTTCTCCCATATTTCAGGTAACTTGTGGATACTGTCCCAATAGAACTTTTCTTGTTTTGAGGCAAACCATACAGAGACCCAATTTTCAACTTCTTCGTACATTTTGAAGTGCTGTTCAGAAAGTGCATGTGCCATCGATCAGAACAAGTGGTAACCTGAAGGAGCAAGGTCTGGTGAATACAGCAGGTGGGTTAATACCGTTTCCCCGAAAATAAGACAGTGTCTTACATTAGTTTTTTCTCCCAAAGTTGCACTAGGTCTTATTTTCAGGGGATGTCTTATCTTTTCATGCACTAGGTCTTATTTTCGGAGGATGTCTTATTTTCGGGGAAACACGGGTACTTCCCAGGCAAGATCTTTTAACCATTAAAAGATCTTGCCTGGGAAGTACCCGTGTCTTGAACTGGTTTTGAGGTGTGTGATGGTGAGTTATCATGAAGCAAAATTACTTTGCTGTGTCTTCTGGCACATTCTGGTCATTTCACGATCAAAGCGTGATTATTTGTTGTCAGTACCGATCAGTATTAATGGTTTCACCTGGTTTTAGAAGCACCACAATTTCCTGATCCCACCAAACGCAGATCATTGTCTTTCTGAAGTTGATGTTGATGGTTGACCTGGATCAACCCATGATTCTGTGAATTAGTGATTCTCAAAATAAACCCACTTTTCATCGCCACAGTTCAATGCAAAAAAGACTTTCTTTCGTGCTATTGAAGCAACATTTTACTGATGACTTTTCGGTTTTCTATTTGTCTTTCATTCAGTTGATGTGGCACCCATTTTCCTTCCTTTAAAATCTTTCCCATTGCTTGTAAACGATCGGAAATTGTTTGCTGAGTAACGTTTAATCTTTCTGCAAATTGTTTTTGAGTTTGACATGCATTTTCATCCAATAATACTTGTAATTGTTGTCTCCAAACTTTTTCAGTTGACCTGGTTGTTCTTTATCTTTCACATCAAAATCATTACTTTTAAAGCATTTAAACCAGCGTTTACAAGTATCTTGAGATGGAGTATGTTCACCATAAGCTTCCCAGAGTATACGATGACTTTCAGCAGCATTTTTCTTCAAAATAATGAATTAAAACTTCCAGCAAATGCTTTTTTTGGGGGGGCACAAATTTCGACATTTTTAAGTGTAAAAATATCTATGATGTTAACATCTTCAGCAAATTTGACCTTTGAAGCTTTGAAGCTTGCTGTCAGTACAACAAAGTAGCACACATATCAAATTGCATATATATCAACATATGTGTAACTCCATCTCTTAAAAAAAAAAAAAGTCTGCATTATTAACTGGTACACCTATTAAGAGATGGTTCTTAGAAGAACCCCTGGATGAACAGGAAATGAAAAAGCCACTGCAAAGTTGCACAGTGTTTGTACTTTGAACAAGCGTGAAGACTTGTTGAGACTAGAAGATGAACTTTATGGAGTTTTACCAAATGGCAGCAGTTTGATACAGGGCTGCCCCATAGATGTCTCTTCATGACCAGGACAATTAAAAGCAACCTAGAAAACCCAACCCTTCAACAATTAACGTAGCCCTTATAACAGCTGGTTTAAATTTTGTAATTACAAGAACAGATTTTCTTTTTCTTTTTCACGTCAGCACAAATGAGCCCCATAAATGATTTGAACAAATTGCTTAAGGCACCTTCCAATCCGGGCAGCACCTGCCCCAATCTAACATGGCGGCATGGGCTTCCTCCAGTCACATCCCCAGTCACACCGCTGGGCCTTAATGCAGCAGGGGAACGTTAGACCCCGCTGCCCGTCGCGCTATGATGACGTCGCACCCGCGCCTGGGAACCGGGAGGGCAAGTACGCGCAGGCGCAGCGCGGCCGCGGTGGGCGGAGCTGACGAGATGAGTGGCGGTGGCGCGGAGGCCGCTGTGGGTGGTGAGGTCCCCGCGGCGGGCGGCCACAAAAAGAAGGACTCGCTGGGGACCGCGGGCTCGCCAGCGCACCTCATTATCAAGGGTACGGAGTGAAGGGGACATGGCCCTGGTGGGTGCCAGGGCAGCCTCCCCTCCCCGGCGGCGCCCTCTGACCCGGGGGGTGGCGAGGCGAGCCGGGTGTGGCCGCGCCCCCTAGATCTCTGCTCTCCCAGGAAGGACCAGCCCCAGCTCTCTTACTTCCTCAGGGACAAAACCTAGACGGGAGCCTCCTCCCCTCCCCAAGCCCGGACCCCCGGCGCAGTGCCTCCGCGGGCGCGGCGCGCGGCCCCCCCGGCGATGAGGGAACTCGGAGCCGGAGCGGGCTGGGCTGCGGAGCGGGGCTGTGGGGAGGTTGTTGGCTTTACCCCCTCCAGCTCTGTCTGCTCCTGCTCAGGCGGGAGCTAATGAGATCAACTTTGAAAGCGTCTGCAAGCAGGAAAGCTCCAGACACGTGTACAGAGGTCCATTGTGTGCTTCGAGCTGGGAGCTTACAGCCTAGTAACAACCTGGATTCTCACAGAAGCTGGTAGAGTCCAAAGCGCACAACCGTGTTTCCTGCAACAAGATCTTTGCCAGTTTCTCATCGCCAGCCCTCTACACCCCTTCCCTACCCTGTCAGCCCCGCCACAGTGCAATGCTCGAGAAGCCCTCGGAGGGTTCCCGAGCGCTTCTGCACCCCCGAGGCAGCCCCCCATGCCGCCTATTTCATTTTAACCTTAGCTGCTGTGATTGTAGAGTGCAGGAGTGGGCCTAGGTGTTAGGGCTACATTATAATTGTTTATTTTTGTTGTTGTAGTAAAATACATCGTAACCAATTTTCTTAACCACTTTTAAGTGTGTAGTTCAGTGGCGTTAATACATTCACATTGTGCAGCTGTCACATACTTCCCAAAGTCTGTACTCATTCAACACTAACACCCTGCAGCTTCTAGCAACTACCATTCTATCCTGTCTTTGAGGATTACTGTTTGTCATTTTGTGATTGGCTTATTTGACTTACCATCCTCAAGTTTCACCCATGTGTCAGAATTTCCCTTTTCTTTTTCTCTTTAAAAAAAAAAATAAAAAAAAATAAAAAGAAAAAAAAATATATATATATTAGGATATTAGGTCTAGTAATAATAATGTTGTTTTCTAATACTTTTTTAAATCGAATTTATTTAAACAATACAACAAAATTTAATCAACAATATAGTTGCCGTTGTTTTCTACTACTTGTGCCCAACGCTCAGGAAGCATTTTAATCCCTCTGTTGTAAAATTCTTGTGATTTTGATGCAAAAAATTCGGTCAATGCATTTTTGAGGCATTCTTCATTATTAAATTTTTTTCCAAGAAGAAAGTTTTGCAAAGAACGAAACAAATGGTAATCGGAAGGGGCAATATCAGGAGAATATGCAGGTTGAGGGAGAACTTCCCATTCCAACTGGTGCAGTTTTTCAGCAGTGATTCTTGCAGTATGCGGTCGTGCGTTATCCTGGTGAAGAATTACGCCCTTCCGATTAATCAGCGCGGGTTCTTTTTCTCTTAAAGCTTGGACTAACCTTTCCAATAGGGCACTATACACTGCACTTATAATGGTTTGGTTAGATGGTAAAAGTTCATAATGAAGAATTCCTTTAAAATTCCACCAAACACACAACATCACTTTTTTCGCATGCAAGTCAGGTTTTGGCATGGGCTGCGGAGCCTCATTTTTGTACAACCATTGAGGCCGCCTTTTCAAATTAACATACAGCACCCATTTTTCGTCTCCGGTAACAATTTGCTCTAAAAACGGCAAACGGTTTTGACGAGAGAGGAGCGAACTGCAAATTGTGACTCTTTGATTACGGTTGTTGTCGGTCAACTCATGGGGAACCCATTTTCCAAACTTTTGGACTTTGCCAAGTGCACACAATTGATTGGAAATTGTTTTTTGTGAACAATTTAAAGTTGTCGCAAGCTCTTGTTGGGTAATTTGAGGATTTTGCACCAAAAGAGCTTGAAGAGCTTCTTGATCAAAATTGGACACACTGCCTCGACCACTCTTGTCATCTAACGAAAAATTTCCCCTCGCGAAATTTCTCAAACCAATGCTGGCATTTTCTGGCGCTAACTGCATCTTGACCAAGAGCACTACAGATGTTTTTTGCAGCCTCACTTGCTTTTCTTCCTAATTGGAACTCGTAAAGCATGCAGTGCCGAATATGCTCTTCATCCGCCATCTTCTTAGCCCTAGTTTTGCAACAAAAACCAAACCAAACACAAACTTTTTCAAGCAAAACTTGTTAATTGCACTTCACACGTTCTGTAGATACCACGTGTTTGAAGGTTATGTCAATACAAGTCAACGCCAAGCAAGATTTTAAACGAATGTTTAAAAACGACATTAATTATTACTATACCCGATATATATATATATATATATTATTGCTTTTTTACAGAGAGAAAGGAAGAGGGATAGAGAGTTAGAAACATTGATTAGAGAGAAACATTGATCAGTTGCCTCCTGCACACTCCCACTGGGGATATGCTCAAATCTGGGATCCTTCAGTCTGTAGGACAATGTTCTATCCACTGAACCAAACCAGTTAGGGCAGAATTTCTTCTTTAAAGCTAAGTAATATTCTGTTGTATGTATGTATACACACCACATTTTGTGTATCCATTTATCTGTGGGTGAACACTCCAGTTGCTTCCACCTTTTGTTATTGTGAATATGGGTATGCACATTATGTTTGAGTCCCTGCTTTCAAATTTTTTTTGAGAATATACCTAAAACTGGAATTGCTGGGTCAACGATAATTCTGTTTTTTAATTTTTTGAACAATCACCATGTTTTTTTCCATAGAGGTTGTATGATATTATAGTCTCACTAACTGCACGAGCATTCCAGTTTCTTCACATCCTCACCAAAGTTTGTCGTTTTCTGTTTTCTTGCTAGTTCCTCCTAATGGGTATGAGGTAGTATCTTGTAATTCTGGTTTTCATTTCCCTAATATACAGTGTTGTTCACATCTTTATGTGCTTAATGGCTATTTGAATAGCTTCTTTGGAGAAATGTCCATTTGGATGTGTTGTTGTTTTAGTTGTAGGAGTTCTTTATTCTGGATATTAATCCCTTTTCAGATACATGATTTGCATATATTTTCTCCTATTCATGGGTTGCCTTTTCATTCTGTTGATTGCATTCTTTGATGCACAAACTTTTTTTTAAATTTTAATTTACTTTTTAAATAAAGATAATTCAAGGGAAGTTTTTCAAGTTAATCCAGAATTGAGATGCAATTGAAAATATGTCTGAATAGCCTTGGCTTTTTCAATGGAACCGTTCATTCTTTTCGTTCTAAAAAAATCTATTTTTAGTTCATCTTATTTGAAGACTGTCAATTGTGAACGGATATTTAATTTTGTTGCTAGAGTCTAGTGAAAGGGAAGTATATAAATAAATGATTTCAATACTTTTGCCCTGGGTCTTTGGGGGTTTCTGGCCCTTAGGTGGGTGTTAGGGGTGGGGACTGGGAGACAGGAACATCTTCCTGGAGGATAGGGTGTCTGACCTGAGTCTTGAGGAATAAAGTATTGGCCGTTAACAAAAGAGGGCAAGGTATTTTGGACTTTCAAACACCACCAGCAAAGACGTGCGGCCTACAGCAGCAGCAGTGTCTGGGAAATGAGGTGGAGTTCCATGGAAATCAGACCATAGAAGACTTTCTCTTCAATGGCAGGAAACTGTCCAATAATAAGTATGAGAATCATGTGATTAGATTTGTATTTTAAGTAAAGCACTTGGGCAGATAATAGATGGTCCTCATTTACGGATTGCATATTTGTGAGTTTGTCTGTTTGCTAAGATAAATTCATAACTCCAAAATGTTGGTGGTGCTTTTGTAGTCATTCCCACATAGGCAGAGGAGAGAAAAAAATTTAGCTGCCATAGCTGAGTTTGAACAACACACCACTGCTTTTTCTTTCAGCTCTCATACAATAAACAAGTGTCCTTATTGCTCTCTATTTAGTACCATGTTTTTCACTTTTATGTAACTTTCGTTGTTGGTTTTGCTGTTAAAGTGATTTCCAGGTATAGTGCAGAAGTGGCCCTAAACACAAGAAGGCTGTGCCTTAGAGAGACAATACATGTGTTGGAGAAGTTTCTTTCAGGTGTGAGCTGCAGTGCTGTTTGCTGTGAGTTCTGTTAGTCAGCCATCTAGACAAAAAGAATAAAATTCATCAATCTGTATGTGAGGCCACTTCAGAAAGTGCCAGGGTAACATTTATGGTGGTGTGATGAAGCAATGGAAAAGCGGCTAACTTTATGGGTTTATGAGATGATGAACCATAGAGAAAGTGTAGTGGACAGCATTGTGTAAAGCTGAAAGCCAAAGAAATCGATAGTTCAGTTACCAAGGGTCAGGGAAATGTTAAATCCTAGCGCTGGCTGGCATTCTCAGAGGTGGTACAGTGTGAAAAAATGTTAGACTTGCTAATGAAGCAGGTTCTGCAGATCAGGAGGCTGTAGAAATTTAGAAACACCTGCTAAGTGTTATAAGGAAAAAGTGTTATTGGAAGAGCAGATCTTCAACACCAAGGCTGGGATGTTTTACAAGGATCTTGGCAAACAAACCTATATGACACAGATAGCATTTTGGTTAACAAAAATATGACAAGAGGTTTGCAGGAATCTAACCTCACATTACTTTTAAGAGCAATAGTTCAGTATTCTATAGTTTAATGTTCATGGCAACTTTACAAACATAAATACTGCAAATAATGAGAATTGACTTTGTATGGAGGGGGTTAAAGAGAGGTGTGACCAGCTGTTGATGTAGTCCAAGTGAGACAAGGAGGGATGGAAAAGGGGATGATCTGATAAGTTGTGAGGAAGAATAACATCTAAATGTTGACACCAAAGGTATAAACAGGAAAAGTTGCAATGCAGTAAATTGTTCCTTAGGATATACAAAGCTTCACATATTACAATACATTGAAGGCCTCCAAATTTAAGGTCAGAGTAAAAAACTTATTTAATGAGAGATCTGCAGTTTTCTATATTTCTCCTTTTTCCATAATTCCATAGCATATTGATCTTCCATTAAAGTGATTATCCTATCTTTTGTGTGAAGGGATATTTGTCTAACTCCCACAGTAGAGTATGAACTTTTGGAGAACAGAAGATGGTATCTTTTATCTTGTACTAGGAGCCTGGTGTACAAAATTCGTGCATGCGTGGGGTCCCTAGGCCTAGCCAGTGATGAGGGCAGATTGGGGCCAGGCAGATTGGGGTCCTAAGGCCCCAGCAGGGTCAGAAGAGGAGGCAGTAGTCACTGGGCACAGAAGGAATGGATGCTGGATGCCGATGCTACCATCGTTAGTGCCCCGCCACCACACAGTTTCCCGCCTCCCCCTTCCTCTTTCCCTCACAGCTGTGCCATCACTGCAGCAGGTGGATGGCAGGCTGACTGTCGGCAGGGGGAGGGACAGGGCATGGGAGGTTGGCCGCCAGCCCCAAGGAGGGAGCTGGCCCTTGGTCCGCTTGGGAAAGGGGCCTTGTCTGCCACCACCCATTCCCGGTCCCCCATTCCAGCCTGGGGCCTGGCCCTGATCGGATGATGCAGGATGGGGGCAGGGGGGGTTTGGGGGAATTGAAGCACAGGAGGCTGACTGGCCTCGGGGGAGGAACCATGGGAGGTTGGCCAGCCAGGGGAGATTGGCTGTGGGAGTGCACTAACCACCAGGGGGCAGCTCCTGAATTGAGCGTCTGCCCCTGGTGGTCATTGTGCATCATAGCGCCCGGTCATTCCAGTTATTCGGTCATAATGGTAGCTTAGGTTTTTATATATATAGATATCAAGCAAAAAAAGAATGTTTCCCACGTAGTTGTGTGAAAATCTGTAGCTTACATTTGTTTACATTATTTTTAGAGACTTAATGTATTTGTAATCCTTGGGACTCCAACAAACTCTGAATTATTATAATGTGCTTGTTTTATTATCTTATCCTATATAATAAAAGCCTAATATGCTAAGTGTCCAGTAGTCTGTTCAGCCAATCAAAACGTAATATGCTAATGATATGCTAAGGCTGCTTAACTGCTCGCTATGACATACATTTGACCACCAGGGGGCAGGCAGTTGGTTGGTCAACCAGTCTCTATGACATGCACTGACCATCAGGGGGCAGACATTACAACCAGTAGGTTAGTTCGATGATGGGGTCTGGCCGTTCAGGACTGAGTGAGATGGGCTGGACACTCCCTAGAGCCCTCCTGTGGTCCCTTCCCTGTTGGCCAACCTCCCACATCCCTCCCTGACCCTGATTGTGCACTGGTGGGGTCCCTCGACTTGGCCTGCACCCTCTCACAATCTGGGACCCGTTGGGGGATGTTAACTGGTTTTGACCATATCCCGCTCAAAGCAGGAGCTGCCCCTGGTGGTCATTGCGTTCCCACAAGGGGAGCACTGCTCAGCCAGAAGCTGGGCTCACAGCTGGCGAGTGCAGTGGCAATGGTGGGAGCCTCTCCCATCTCCCCGGCAGTGGTAAGGATGTCTGACTGGGCGTAGGCCCATTCCCTGTGGAGAGTGGCCTAACCTAAGGTGACCAGATGTCCCGCTTTTGGCAGGACAGTCCCGATTTTTACCAATTTGTCCCGTAGCGTTTTAAAAAAAAGTCCTGATTTTTGGACAGAATGTTTTTTTAAAACACCGCGGGACGTGTGGCAAATTGTTAAAAATCAGGACTGTCCCGCCAAAAGCGGGACATCTGGTCACCTTAGCCTAAGCCGTCAGTTGGACATCCCCCGAGGGCTTCCAGATTGCGAGGGGGCACAGGCCAGGCTGAGGGACTACCCACCCCCCTGGCTGGCACTGGGCCTCTAGTAATGTTAAAACAAAACTAGTCAGTGGCTTAATTTCTATAGTAATGTGTGTTTCAGAGTCTTCTTCCTCTACTCCCCCCACCCAAATCTTTACTATCTTAAATTCATGGTTTTAGAAGTGATCATTAGCTACTTCCAAACAATTTAATCATCTCACCAAAAGGTTAAGTAAATATCCATTATATCAGGCCACAGAAATAGATCTCCCAAAATCAACAAAGCTTAATGACTTCTTAGTCACATAGAAAAATGTTAATTCATTTATGCACTCTGGACACATAATTTGGTCTTGAAGATGCTTGCTGGAGGAGAGAGATAATTTTAGTAAGTGATATGATGGAAATATATGCACTGGGTGCTTTGGGAACATACAATAGGGATATTCCTTGAAACCTAAAGGAAGCTAGATAGAATTAGTGAAAATTTTATTTATTTATTTATTTTTAAATATATTTTTTATTGATTTTTAACAGAGAGAAACGTTGATGAGAGAGAAACATTGACCAGCTGCCTCTTGCACACCCCCTACCGGGGATGTGCCCACAACCAAGGTACATGCCTTTGCCTGGAATCGAACCTGGGACCTTTCAGACTGCAGACCGACGCTCTACCGCTGAGCCAAACCAGCTTCGGCGGAATTAGTGAAAATTTTAAAGAAGTTCGGTGTCTGAGCAGTTTTGAAGGAAGATCACAGGGATTAGGGGGTTGGGGAATGGTTCCAGGTGATGACAATAGTATGAACTGTGGCTAGGATGCATGAGGCAACATGGTGTGTTTGGAAAACTGCAGGTAGTTCAGAATTGCTGACAGGTGAGGTGATGAGGCTGGAGCCAGACCATGGAGGCCCTTATGTGGCTTCTAAGGAGCTTGGAATCTTGTCTCTTACCCAGACACTGGTGGTTATTGAAATGTGAATAAGTTCAATTGTCAAATTAGGTCCATAAATTTCTGCATAGCGTAGTCCTCACTTGGGCATTCATAGTTCATGTCTGTATGCTATAGACTCCCAGAAAATGGAAGGTAAAGGCGTCTAATTTGATTTTCTCTGTTTCTCAAACTTAACTAAGTAGAATTTTTAAAAAAATTAATTCCTAGTATCTTCCCAGAGAACTGTTTAGGTAATGAATCATTGAATGATTTAAGCAAAAGTAGTACTTTTACTTATGTATTTTTACTTAGCATACTTTCCACAATGTATCCCAATAAAACTCATTAAAATAGAGACTTGAAATTTACCCTGTTGCATATCTGTAAAAATAAGAAACTTGAGGAACAGATTATACCAATGAGTGGTATATGTTCTTATTTGAAGATTTAATTCCTCCAGGAATTATGAGGTTTACCCTTTAAACTATGTAGTTGTTACTAAGTAGAATGAATAGAATGACACTCAAAACAGTTAAAATTCAGAACTTTTTTTTTTAATTATATCTTTTTCAAACCCATTAAAAAGTTCAGAGACTTATAATGAACACTAACCCACCGTCTTACTAAGTAAACATTAAAAGACCACTGTGTGGGATGAATAGAGCACAAAGGTTTTTTAGAGCATGAAACTATTCTATATACTACAGTGTTGAATACATGTCATTATACATTTTTCAACACCGAGAGTGGATCCTAATGTAAACTGTTTACTTTGAGTGATAATAATGTGTCAATGTAAGTTAATTGATTGTAACAAATGTACCACTGTGGTGCAGGTACGTTGATAAAGGGGGGATTGTGTGTATGTGGGGGTGAGAGGTATAATGGAACTCTGTGATTTCTGCTTAATTTTGCTATGAGCCCAAAGCTGCTATTAAAAAATAATAATAATTTATCTTGCTCAAATTGCATTCTTCTCCCTCCTCTAAAGATAATCACTGCCTTGAATTTGGTATTTATTGTTCTCATACATTTCTTTGTAGTTTTATTTCTTCTGTATGTTTCCAAAAAGGAAGTATCATTTTGTATATTTTTAAAGTTTATATAAATAGCTTTATCTTGTGACCTTTTTGTGTACAACATTATATTTGTAGAATTTATTCATGTTCATAAATGTAACTCTAGTGTATTCATTTTACTTGCTGATGTATAGTACTTTGTCATGAATATGTTTAGGTTATTCCCTTTTTTCTTTTGACATCCCACTCATTTATAAGAGTCTATTAATAAGATACGATTTCCTCTTAATCCATTGTCTAAACTAAATTTTAAAATTCATATATTTGTGGGAAATAGAAAGACTAAAAACAAGCTAGAGATTGTACCACTTAACATGGATTCACCTTGAATTTTATTTTGTCTTTATAGATCTTGGAGAAATTCATTCAAGGCTGTTAGATCACAGACCGGTTATTCAGGGTGAAACCCGTTATTTTGTGAAAGAATTTGAAGTGAGTATTTAAAATTTATTTTGTAAAAATACTGCCTTAATTATTAGTGATTTTCATATATGGAAGGGACATTCTTTAGTTTTAAAGTTTCTGATTTCTGTTTATGGTTCATAAAACCTACAAAGCTTTAATAGTAATGGTAGTAATTCTTAAGGAGCATAGGACTAGGCGTTAGGTGACTTGGGCTCAAGTTCGGTGTCCTACTCTGGCATATTTAATGTCTACTAACCTCAGTTTTTTTCATCTATGCAGTGACATATAGTGAAAAAAAAAGGTGTGTTTTGTTGTTATTTTAATATATTTTATTGATTTTTTACAGAGAGGAAGAGAGAGAGAGAGACAATGAGAGAGAAACATTGATCAGCTGCCTCCTGCCTCTCCCTACTGGGTATGTGCCTGCAGCCAAGGTACATGCCCTTAACCGGAATTAAACCTGGGACCCTATCCACTGAGCCAACCGGTTATGGCAAAAAATAAAAGGTTTTAAATACTGATTGGTCTAGGTTTTTCAGGCCCATTTTTTATATTTTTTTCTCAGTTGGGGCATCAGCACCCGCCTAAAGCACTCAAGTTAAAACATGATAATTATCCTTAGCTATTCTCTCACCTTTAGGGCCCGTATTTAGTGACCATGTCTTCTGGATGCTACCTCATAAACCTCTAATCCTTCTGACTTATGTGCCTGCTTTATCAACCCAGTAAAATCCAGTCTTTTCCCCTTGCCAGAGTGCTCTGACATAACTCTTTTATAATGTTTGTCATCTATAGGATAAAATCCAAACGTCATTTTGTAACCTGTTCCCTACTTTTCTGGCTTAACCATCTGCCATCCCACCTTGTATGGTATGTTCAGGCAATACTGATACACCAACCCGCTATCCTATTTCATGTTACCGTTGGTCTATACATCTGTAATTGATTCATTGTGCATTAAATCTCAACATCTCAAACTACTTTTGGATAGATGGTAAATGATGTTACACAAACAATTTTGTGATTCTGGGTAAGTTGGGGTTTATTTTCAAATGAGACTCCAAACAAGTAGGAAGTCTAAACCTGCCAAAGGAGAAAACCTTTTCATAAACCACTTATCACTACAAAAAAGCCTGTGGTGCAGAGCAACAACAATTGAGAGACAGCAATGCAGCATTAGATACCATTTCTGAGTTCAACAGACTCTGTTACTCAAAATCTGCCTCTGTCTACCTCAAAGTGTTGTTGTGAAGATGAAAGGGGTGTGTATGTGCAAGTATGCACATGTCTGTATGTGTGTGTTTTGGTATACTATCTGGTACCTACGGTAGGAATAACTGTTAGCTATCTTTATTATTATTGTTGTGGGATAACAGTAATATGGAAAACTCATATAATTACCCGGAGACTATTCCCTTATCATACTATATAAAGACTATCACGGATTCCTTAGTGAGATTAAAGGAGATTAAAGTAGTGAGAGTAAAGCCTGGCTGTTCTCCGCTCAGTCTCTCAAAGCTGTGATCAAGACTTTGTTCTTATTTGGGGCTCTGGGTTCTCTGCCTAATTCACATGATTGTGGCAGGACTCACTTCTCTGCTGTGGTGGAATAGGTTTCCCTGCTTGCTGTCAGCCAGGGGCCCCTGTGAGCTACTAGAAGCCACTCACATTCCTTGCCACATGGCCCCCTCCATCTTCAAAGCTGTCAATGGAGTCTTCGTCAAATGGAATCCTGTCGTGCTTGCCAAGAGAAGTCCAGTCCCTATTAAAGACTCGCCTGATTTAAGCCAGGCCCATTGAGATAACTTCTCTTTTTTTAAAGTCAATTGATTTGGGACCTAAAATATGTCTTCAGAGTATCTTCAGAGCAGCACCTAGACTAGGGCGTGATTGCATAACTGAGAGAATGTGTGTGTACACTAGAGGTGGAGTCTCAGGGGCCATCTTAGAATTCTGCCTACCATAAGCTCTCATAAATACCTGATACTTTTCTTGTTATCTACTTGCTTATTACTTGACTTCCTTCTTTAGAATATAGGCACCATGAGAATAAGGACCTAGTGTTTTTATTTTCTGTTGTATTCAAAATGCCTAAAATAAGCCTGCTGCATTGTGGATGCTTACTCTGATTCAAAAGAGTAACTAGCAAAACTTGGACTAAAACTTGGGTTTTCGACATTCGGTGATATCACCAATCATCTTTTTCATAAGTCATCCTTTTTTGCCAGTATGGTTACGTACTAAATAGTTATTATTTAAAAAATTTTAGATATACCTTTAAAGATCTACTTTATATGTATATTTTTAATATTATTTGTTGATTTTAGAGAGAGAGAAATATCTATTTGCTGTTCTACTTATTTATGCTTCTTGTATGTTCCGTGACTGGTGATTGAACCTGACACCTTAGTGCAGTGGTCGGTAAACCGCGGCTTGAGAGCCACATGTGACTCTTTCGCCCTTGAGTGTGGCTCTCTCACAAAATACTACATGCGGCGTGCACATATAGTGCGATTGAAACTTCGTGGCCCATGCAAAGAAATTGGTTTTCACCCTGGGCGAGTATATTTTGAAGAAGTGGTTCTAATGCCGAGCCACACTCAAGGGGCCAAAGAGCCGCATGTGGCTCGCGAGCTGCGGTTTGCCGACCACTGCCTTAGTGTATTGGTAACTGATTGAGCTATCCAGCCAGGGAGATCTACATACTAAAAGAAGTATAGATTTTTGGCATAATGGTGAATTCTCTAATTCAATTCCCTCACTGGCTAATTATCCCAAGAATACAGGTGTCATACTTTAAATAATGTAGATGTTTTCTATGAAATGAATCTTGAATGGAATGAAAGAAGTGTTACATTTATGCTGCTGAGTATGTCTATTCAAGAGCTCACTTCCTATTAAAGCAATACCTCTTTTAACTAGGATGGAACATCGTTGCCAGGAGCATGTTCGAACGGAGAGGAATTGTAGTCAGGCCTCTGTATCTATAGGTTCTGCACCTGCACATTGAAAATATTCAGGAAAAAAGTTAAGTTGTTGGTGTGTATTAAATAGCTAAGCCTATGATGGTTGTGTCTATATTGAACACGTATAGACTTTTTTTCTTGTCATTATTCCCTAAACAGTGCAGTATAACAACTATTTATAAAGCATTTACTTGTGTTATGTGTTTACTATAAGTAATCTGGAGATGGTATAACGTATATGGGAGGATGAGCTTAGGTTATTAAGTTACATGGGTGAACTATGCCATTTGATAGAAGGGACTCGAGCGTTCTGGGTATTTGGTATCTGCAGGGGTTCCTGGAACCAGTCCTTCACTATACCGAGGACCAGCTGTATCTACACTCTACATTGTTGCCCTTAAGATCTTTTTAGAGAAGAAGCTGTGTTAAAGAGTAGAAAATACATGGGCCTTGGAGCTTGACATATCTAAGTCCAAGTCCTGGCACTCTTCTTACTAGTTATGATTACTTGCTTTACTGAGGCTTAGTTTCCTAATTTAAAAAAAAAAAAAGGGAATAATGTATACTGCAGAAGTTTTGTGAGCATTAAATAGAACATCTTTTTAAAAAATCCCTGGTATATAGGTATTAGACAAATGTTGGTAACTTATTAAGAGAAAATGGTAGCAAGTATAATCAAATAAACATGTATTAATTCAGAACTTACAATAATTTTTATGAATTTGGGTTCAGTGTTTGATGTCATAGGGAGAATAGGGATTTGCTAAGAAAGTGCTATTGGCATTACCCAAGGAATATGTTTACTAAAAAATAAAATTTCATCCTGGGCATGATAGATACAATGCTATAGAAATGTTTTAAAGCCCTTATTTTGTGTGAGAAAGAGTGTCAGAAACTAATACTATATTGTAAATGAGACAGACACAGACCCATCTTTCATGAAGCAAGGCATTCTTTTTTTCTTTTAAAAATATTTTTGTTGAATTTTAGAGAGAGGGAAGGGAGAAGGAGAAAGAGATACATTGACAAGAGAGTGGAATATCAGTCAGCTGCCTTCTGCATGCACCCTACACCAGGGATTGAGCCTGAAACCCAGGCATGTGCCCTGATCGAGGAATCAAACCAGCAGCCTTTCAGTGCATGGGTTGATACCCAACTAACTGAGCCACACTGGCTAGGGAAAAAGGCATTCATATATTGTCCTTGAAAAATAGTCTCGGGAGAGCTCAAAAATATTTTGTCAGCTAAGTTTGAGCCATTATCTTCAACTAAATATATCTTCTTGAAGTGTACCTGATCCAATCTTTTCACACAGTGACCTCCCCAGTTGGTCTTCCTGAGGTGTAGTGTAGTATGGAAACCTTACATATCAGGCTCTGTTACCTTTTATGTATATTATATTCCTAGCATTTTCCTCAAATTAGAAAAGAAAAGCTAAAAACACTGTAATGACTTTAGAGTTATAAGGATATCCGCATTGTTTATAGTTCTCTTCTATCTTGGTTCAAACAATAACACCCTCCAGTTAGTCCATGTGGTCTTTACCCAGATTGCATGGCTGGACAAAGGAATGCTGAGCAGAGCTAGCTGTCAGTACTTCCTAGAGGTTTTATCTGCTTTTATACCATTTAAATGTAGTTCACTTTAAGAAAAACTGCCTAGTATTTAAAACTGAAGTTGTTTATAATTTATATATTTTAAAAAGTTAATGCACATGGCCACAATCATCTTTTTCTTTATAAAATTTTATTTCTAAAAGAGGGGAGTAAGTGCCACATGGTGGCAGCATTACTTAAATTATTGAAGTTCTATTATAATATTTTATGCTTTCTTTTTGTGTTTGCTAGTTTTCTGGGCAATTGACTCCCTTTTTCCCCACTTTATACAAATCTCTTCTTCCCTTGATTCCAGTGAGCATTTTGAACAGAGATCCCAGTGGGGCCCTCTCAGTGAGCATCAGTTTGATAGTGTCTGTGGGTAGAGACATCGTCTTCTGCAACTTTGTCTTTCTAGCCACAAGGAGATGTCATGTCCTCTCTCACATAGAACAGAGGAGAGATC